GCTGCCCACGGGCCGGCAGTGAGAGGGGAGGAGTGCGGCCGCCGCGTCGTCGTACCTGGATAAAGCTGAACTGGTGGGTGTGCCAGGTTTCTGCGGACAGGGGGTAGGTGTCGTAGAGGATGCCTGTGCAGGAAACGGATGGAAAGGAGGCATGAGCTGCGCTGGGCTGTTTGGTTGGGCTACAATGCCACCCGGTAGCTGGCCGCCAGATCCAGGGGTGCTCTGGAGGCCTCCTTCCCCACCCCCGGGGTTGCAAAGATCCCTTTGCATTGTCATAGGCATCGGCCTCCCTTACCACTGAAGTGTCCATCCGGCAGAGTCGGCGCCACGTCCTCCCACAGCCCCTTCAAGGGCACCACCTGCGGGAGCTTCTCTTTCACCAACAGAAGTTGATCCAATGAGAGAGAGAGAGAGAGAGGGGGGGGGGCTCAAATCCCTCCCTGGTGCAATTCGAGCCCATTTGCTGCAGTGAAAGTTACAAGGGAAGAATCTGGCCTAGGAAAAGTGTGTGGCCGGGGGGGCCAAGGAATCCACACATCAAACTCAGCCCTTGCCTGAGGGACACCCCAGAGCCTCAGGGCGGACGCGGTGCCCCCGTGTGTTAGATTAACTAGAAGCCGCTCCTCCATCAAGAGGACTCTGCTACCTCGTGACTCCTTTTAAAAATGGGTTTATGGTGCAAATTAATGAACAACCTGAGCCGAGGGAACTGGAGCAGCATGGAGCCAGCCTTGCCTGGCTGAGAGTGAATGCTTGGCGGCCTTTTCCTCCGCTTCCAGCTCGGGGAAGTTCTGGGGCTTTTTAACTCACCAGAGGTCTCCTCTTTGAGCTCAGGGAAATCTAGAGCCGCGTTTCTCAACCAGAGATACGAGTCCCCTTAGGGGTATGCGAGAGAAGTCGGGGGGGGCTTCGTCAACACAACTGAAACTTGGAGAAAACTGAATTTTTGTGTTGTTTTACAGCACTTGATTCTTTTTGTACTTTTTACACCCAAAAATGTCACCCCCTGCCCGGCTACGATTAAGTTGTTGAAACCAGGCCTGCACAACATACGGCCCGAGGGCTGCATGCCGCCTGCAGGGGCTCACTGTGCGGCCCCGTTCAATCTGCCGGCTGGGCGGAGGAGCGGAGCGCCGCCGGGGAGGGGGAAGTGCAGCGATTCTCGCCACCGGGCTGCCTGTGAGCAGTTCCTGTGCAAGGAGGCAGGGCGCGAGCCAGAGGGCGGGACGCCGGCAGACGCCAGGACGCTGGTGTGATGTGGCATCGTGACGTCACGGCCGGCGACTGCTGGATTCAAAAAGGCTCTGGCAGCCCCGCAAACTGGAAGGCAGAAGCAAGGTAGGGGAGGGGAAGGGCTTGTTCTGAGGGGAGGGGGACAGGTCAGGAGAAAGGGGAAGGCACCAAGGGACAGGGTGCAGGAGAGACAAATGCCAGGGGGCCAAGTGGAGACATGATGCGTGGTGGTTTGTGTGGGGGGGGGGGGTTGTGCTGCA